AAATATATCACTCTGATATAGCATTAGGAAAATGGTGGACAACTACCTATGCCTGTATCAAAAATTAATTTTATTTACGTTTATATATATATTTTTTTCTGGTGGATACATTCAATCACTCTCTGCGGTGTGGTTCGGTTGTTTAGGAAGTCTGTATCACCTTCCTCTTCACACACGCCCCACATCAAGGATGACGATCACGCCCAAGAAAAAAATGTAACTCTGAATAGGGAGGGAATACTCAGATCCTAGGCCTGCCTCGAAAGGCAAAAAATACCCCTAAGAAGACTAAACTACAAAAAAAACTAAATATAATAAAAGACAATTAATTTACTTTTAGAGGATCGTAGCAAAGGTTATGTACTTATGTAAATTTCGAGGTGAATACTTTCAAACTATTTCTCATCTCGTAGCTCAGTGGACTAAACCGCAGGAAGCTTATCGGGTCTTCCTCTCCTCGCTACGTAGACAATTATAGTCTGACAATCGCGCCCTCTATAATAGTGTTTTTATAAGCATATAAAGAAAAAATAAATGAAAAAAATATATGACATGCTTTCAAGGGAGGGAGTACGCGGATCCTAAACCATTTAATGTGAGTCCTGTGTCATATTATTTCTCTATACATAATACACATAGTCAGAGGCCCTATTGCCCTGCCTTCTCGCAATACTTGCTCGAAGCCAGATATATTTAGTTAACAATAAATTTTTAAATATATATGTAATATGTAAACTATATATCTTTTTTCGAGCTTGCGAGAAAAAATGTGGTAGATCCGAAATTTTTTGTATAACTGAGTATATTCAATAGTAGCTTGGAAAGGTCAACCTATCAACACAAAACAATCTAGTGTGAAGAGTGGGAAATCGATAAAATATAATCTAAATTAGCACTAGCTCCACTATTATTATGCGGTTATATATATCAATATCTAGTTTTGGGCTGTGTATAAATTTGATGTAGAGCGTATTATTAATGACAATATGTTTGTTTTCAAGGGGCGGTTTTACCTGATAACAAAAAGCGTTCGATCAACATGCATCGGCACTTCAGCTATTTACAAATTTAAAATAAGCGTATATACTGGGCCATGATTATTCAAGGGGCAGGTTTGTTTTCAAAAATACTTGTAAAATATATATGTGCGCTTTTTTAATGCAACCACGTTCTATCAACTGCTTTTTTCACCTGAATTCGGAACAGAACTTTGTACTGGACCCTTTTAATATAAATTACGGCTAACACGAGTCAACTAATATTTTTTATTTGGCGTCTTAACGTAGCACGATAATTTCTACAGTACAAATAATTAAATTCTTTACTAAATTCGGCACCACATTTATTGGACACGGCAAATCTATTAACAATCGCACGTTTTCTATATTTGGGATTAGATATTTGCTTATACGGGGTATAGTAATAATTTTACACGCTATATGCCCCAAGCCTGATTTGCAAATTTAGAATAAGCGCCCTATTATAACAGATCAAACATCTAGCATCACATTTTTTTACCGATTTATTTCAACATTGATCCAGAAAAAAATAAGTACATATTATGTCATATCATATGATTTAACGGTTCCCGCGGGTCCGCTTTTATTTTGGCCTAGGTCGAAAAATAGCGATAAAATCTTGACCGGCTTTAATATTCAGTGGCCTGCATTAAATTTTATGCGGTGTTACCTTAATTTCTCATGGTCGATTTTTTATTAGCGCTAATATGAATAGCGTCTAGAATCTTTCCTTACCTAATACACGATCCCGCGATAAGAATGGGACTTAAAAAGACTATAAAAGTAATGAGTATAACATTCTTTATCAGTAGTTTTATCCAAATTCATATGTCGCAGGGATTTGGAATCTCCGCATCTCCGAGATCGTCAGATCTAAATCTACCTTAAGCGATCGTCGATTCTAAGGGGCTTAGTTTACCTAAAAAACAACAAAATAGATTATATTTAGAATTTATGACTGAAACGGAGTTGCTTTGTTAAGTGTGGTCTGACATTGTGTAAGAGTAACGTAATTACTAAGCTTGTGATTTTTCTTCTAGCAGGTTCTCTAGATCTAACGAACGTGAAGTATAAAAATAAGCGTGTTTCTACCCGTAAGATAAGTCAGTAATAGCGTTATTTTTTGCTCATATATATATTTACTTGATTCACTTGCGAATTTTTTTTAAAAAAGTAATGTTTTTGTCATTTAACGGAGACTATGAAGACGAATTTTTACTTACTATGATTTTTGTATTTAGGAACGAAAAATGAGCAGTACTAACAATACCACCACCCAGACCAACTATACCACCACCACCAAGACTAATGATGCCACCACCACCAAGACTAATGATACCACCACCCCCAAGACTAATAATGCCACCTCCACGACTAATGACAATAACCCCTCCGAGACCTATTATGTCTCCCCAACACCGCCCAATCCAAGACCTAACCAAAGGACATCCAATTCCAATCGTCAACGCAATAATAGAAGAAACAGATGTAGTAAGTAAAATTCTGCCAAAGCTAAGAAGCTAAGACAATAAGCTAAAGAATCTCAATTTATTGAACTGTGTAAATTAATTTAGATGATCCGGACTATGATCCTGAAGAAGAAGATGATTTTCTTGAAAGTAATCCTTTTTATTATGTTTCTAGAGAATATGCACAATATTGTTTAGATAATGATGATTTTAGTCGTTTAAGTATAAAAGATGCACAAAACATTGTAGATCAAAGTTAATATATTTTTTTATCTTTTTTATAATTTTTTTTATTTTTGTATATTGTCGTTCTGGCAAAAAAAATTTATTAAATAAAGAAGGGGGGTCTCATGGCCTCACCATTTTTTATTTTTACGCAATTTTTTTTACAATGTAGTTTGCAATTAGTGGAGACTATTGAGTTAACTTTTTAATATATTAAAAACTTTATTAATCTATGCTACGATCACGAACTTGAGTTTATTAATTGAAGTGTTGCAGGTAAGACAATATTCCAACTTATCTTGGAAATACAGCTTCGCTAATTCGGGATCATAAGGGAGCTGATTCCCATTTTCGCGGTACCATTCGCCATGTAATCCATAATTCCCATGTTTTCCATTGCAAATAGGGCATGGTGAGCTCCACGGCTGAGGTGATACAAAATTATAATTATCAATTCCCCTAAAACTATTTCGGAATTTCAAGTATGTGAAATGCTCTAACACGGATTTGATAATTAATTCTGGATCAGGTTTGGCTTCATAAGTGATGGGCTTGAAATCAGAGGTCTTAGGCTTTGGTGGCGTACTTATCACAGCTTTTGGTAATTGCCATGGCTCATGCCCAGTTTCTTTTTTATATTTTTTATATAAGTTGGACCGAATCTTATCTGTCAAAACGCTTGGTAACCCACTTAGTTTGGCATGCCAATCCAGATATTCGGGGTTAATACTTGGTCATATTGTCTTTTTATATGATTGCAAATCAATTTTAATTATAGTAAGCATAGTCGATGTAAATTAGCCCTGTAAAAAAATAACACAATGAAGCGTGAGCAAATATATGGTTATGCGAACCTGTGACCAGATTATGCAACTATCTCAATTTCGCGCTGTTCACATTTAATAAAATAGGCTCCTGATGTATATCTCCCTTCTATACTTTCTTCTTCATTATGCTCTAACTCGCATAATGGGCATATTTTCTCGCTAGTAATTCCATAATAATCGAAATTTTCACTACTAAATTCTCTATATAAATTTTGATATTGATCCAATGTCTTGTTTTGAAAATAGGTGCGTTCATGAGTTGGATTCGTCTTAGGAATTGGTCGAGATGCAGGTATAATATTTACTCCAGATTTTGAAGATGTTTGTTCCTCCGATGCGTTAGAAGTATTAATATGTGACAACTCAGAATTTTTCTTATCACTTCCTGAACTGAGATCAGGAAGTGACAATTCGGAATTTTTTTCATTACTTGGTAAACCATCTTTCGGCAGAGCATAGGCGGACGTTTCTATCTTAATGCTGTAGTCGACTGGCATATTATCTATAATATACTGAATCTCCTTATTCGTCATTTTTGAGATACTGCTAACAGAAAAGGAATGAATTCGATAAATTTTATCCATACCTATTGCGTCAAAGAGCTTCCAGAGTTTCTTGGCCTGCTCGATTCTTTTCCATAAAAGTGCATCAGAAGTATCTGCAGGAAGCTGAGCCCTAACTTCCATATTTAAAACTCTACTGACAGCATTGGATTCCGGATCAACTTGTCTCTCAGATGCTATCTCACCTCGTCTCTGAATAAGAGCTTTCCCAAATTGACAGTAACATATAATAGCTTCTTGGACCGCACGATCAGCAAAGTCCTCAGCATCGCGAAGTTTTTCGTATAAATGCGCAAAGCTCGAGGAATCTGCCTGCTTGCATGGGCTTGAAGTTGAAGATAGTGTAACCAGTTGTTGCTTGGCTAGGTCAGTATCACTCTGTATCAGGTCTGAAGACACTTCCTGAATAAATTTTTCCCTCTGATTTTTCTTCTGTAGAGATCTTTTATCATCTGAAGTTAAGTCTTGTTTTTGAAGCTTTTCCTCCCGCTTTCTCAACCTTATCCCATCACTAACACTTTTCTTCTGCACTGAATCTAAGAATTCCTCAGTCTTTCTATCTTCTTCACAAGGTGAAGGGCTGTCGTTACTAGGATGATCTACAAAGAGGTTAGGCACATTGTTAACTTCCTCGGGAGAGATATCTTGGGCTTGTTTGTTCTCCTCATTGTCATCCCTTAATTTTAATACTTCAGCCTTAAGCTCTGCAATTGCATCATCACGTCTAGCATTCTCGCCAGCAATATCTGACCTACTCTTCTCCAACTCTTCGATTCTACTTTTGAATTCGGTCCTCAGCTTCATATTCTCATTCTCAAGCTTGACATTCCTTGCCTCAAGCCCAATAATCTTATCCATAAGTCTGGCATTTTCTTCTTTAAGTGAACTGATATCCTCGGACAGCATATTCGATAATAATTTTTATGTACTGTATATAAATATTCAAAATCGGTTAAAAATATGATCACGTGTTTTTCCTGAACTCGGTTCAGGAAGTTTGCCAAAAATTCTCGATCATATGCGAGTAATGTACATCGATAATAATACAAAAAATAAATTCACGAAATACACATGCAAAAGTAAACACGATTATGTATGCGAAATCAGCCACCAGGGCCAACTTTATTGCTTTATTGATGCAGAAACATAGAAGTATTTACAGAATAGTAATATAAAATGCATTAATTAGCTTAGTTTAAGGTTATTTTAGAATTATCCCTCCTGAAATGGATTGACCAACAATCACGAAATTTTTTTTTGCCCATCCCATAAAAAATAAATATCTGAAATGTTTGGCTAAAGATTAATTCGATTATTAAATTAATGAATTATAATAAGATTTAACCCACGACTTAAACGTTAATATAACTATATTCTCTACTTCTTTTTTCGTTTTTTCACGTCCTTCTTATTCTTTCTCTTTGACGTCTCACCACTTTCATCCTCTATAATCACATCAATCTTTTTCGTTTTCCGTTTTTTCACGACTTCTCTCTTTGACGCATCCTCACTTTCATTGTCTATCACATTACTTGATCGCTTCAAATTATGCTGTCCTGAAATCACATTGCTCCCTGACGCTTCTTCACTTTCATCGTCCCCCACATTACTCTTTTTCGTTTTCCGTTTTTTTATGCCTTTATTATCTATTTTCTTCCTCGATGCTTCCTCATTGTCATCATCTCCCGATATCGCATCACTAGATCGTTTTTTTGCACTTTTATTACTAATTCCCAAGTTGATCTCTAGCGCATATTGGGTTATATTGTTAATACATCTCGGAATTTTTTGGCAATCTTCGTCATTAGCTGTCTTGTAATTTTGCCGGGGGAATGTTTCAAAAATGTCCGGCGGTACGACAAAGTATAAATTAAAGTTATCCACATCCTTTCTCCATGCAAGTAGACGATCAAGGTCATTAAGTCCTTTTATCTATACAACCTGAGTTAGTGATAAAAGTGATAACTACAAACTATAAATTTAATTATAACCATTGTCCCCTACCTTCACGCCGTGGTTCTCTGAGACAGTAATTTGGTACAAGTCCAGGGTTTTGTTATCGAGGCTAAAAGAATCAATCGATGCAAACGTCTTTGATTTTGGTCTGTTATAATATTCCTTACGTGCTTCATTCAGTGTCGTGAACCAGTTACACTCCATCTCCTTGATATTTATTTCGTTTACCTCTGAGTTATCATTCAGGCATCGCACCCTAAACTTACCACATCTTTGCAATTCCAGATGAGCATAATCTTCGAAGAGATTGCCTCGAAATCCGGCAATCTTTGGATATTCGTGACTGCTCATGATTAAATCACGAGCGTTCCTCTTTGTTCTAATTTCATATTCCTGAATAATCCTATCAAACACCCTCGGAGAAGCAAAACGATATACTGCACTTGCAAACATTGGATCTGGGTCAAGATGTACAAGCCTACCGCTCATGGCGCCTGTAGGCATGCCCGCCTTATCAATAGAGTTTATACAATCTTCTAAGTTGACTTCATTAATTAATTGTTGGTATTTCCGCTGATATGCCACATTGTCCCACTTTAAAAGAACCGATCTGGGTATTGGGCCCCACTTGCCTAACAATTCCCCAACTAATTCAAATGTGAACTCTTCACCTTTACTATTTTTCTTATTCTTATATTGAAAGTCCCAAAGCGTAATGATTTCTTCTTGATCCCAAACTGGCATGTAATATTGAGTAAAACCTGACCATTTAAGAGCCTCATTAAATCTTTCCACTCTCGGCGACGTGAGCAGGATCATATAGGCCTTATATCTCAATTCCAAAGCTTGCGCATCGATTATAAGGAAGTTATTAGGATTATCTAGTGTCTCGTCAAACAGGCTAATATCCCCTTTTTGCACATTACCATCAGGTAAGAAGTGATAACAATTTCTTTCATTGCGTTGCCAGACTATTATAGCATTAGGATAATTGTAGCGAATGTAAAAGAGAAGATATAGGCCAAAATGTGTCTTTCCGATACCAGGTGTACCAGTAATAGTACAACCGATAAAGGCCGGGCCATCTTGTTCGCGATCCTTTTCAATTAATTCACATAATTGCAGATAACAGTTTCGTATAAGAAGCTTAGATCCATATATGTCTTTATCTCCCAGAAAGAACACACCATCCGGTAGACACAGCATTCCTCCAAAGCTATCAATCAGAATTGACGGCAATCGCACGTTGGTACATTCACCATTTTTGTATAGCTTGCCATCTGAATCGGTAATCACACCTTTATTTAGGCAAATCCGATTATCTTTAATCGTAAAGTAAGAATCCAGAGCATTTAATTCAGCCTCTTTCATATCTTGTGGTATCGGGAAGATTATTCTTGCTTCAAGGAGTTTTTTCCAAAATTCGACCACATCAGAATCAGCTGTGAAATAATATAATGGAAAATAAAGAATAAATATAACGCATTGGTCAACGTACAATAAAACGAGAAAATAGTAATAGAGATATTCATAATGCTTACCTTTCTTAGATCTCTGAAACATCGCTAGTTTTTCTTCCAATTCTTTTATTTTCTGATCTTTTGCATCCGTATCTATATAATAAGTATGAGGCACAAGTTAAT